GGAACATTTGCCGCACCTGCGGAAAAACAAAAGCGGTCAAGTGACCGCAGGTGTGGGGATCGCTGGGCAGAAGAGGATTTTTATAAACGGGACTTGGCTCATTTTCTTCCATCTCTCACTTGGAGGAGGCGATTTTGGAGAGCTTCAAGGAGGGATTTTCATCAAGCAACACAAGGTAAGTGATTTCCACTTATTATGAGTTAAATACATGGTTTGTATAAGGATTTAAATATGGAAATTAGTAAAAATTGTGGGGTTTTGGTTGAAAACCTAGAATTTGGTATTTTTGGATTTTTACCACGAATTTGGGCATGGAATTGAGAATAAATTATATACTTGAGTTCGTGAGGTTATGGGTAAAGTTTATCTTCCCAAATTTTCGAAATTCGGGCACGTGGGCCTGAGGGTGATTTTATCAACTTTTCGAGCGAAGTTGGGAATTTGTTTAAAGCGAATTGTTGTGAGTATTAGGGTATATTTTTATGGGTTTGTACATTTATTGACTAGCCTTGGAGCGTTGGGCATCGATTTGAGTCGTCGGAAGGGCTTGGGAGCCGAATATGGAACTTCGGAGCGAGGTAAGTCTCCTTTCTAACCTTGTAAGAGGGAATTTACCCCATAGGTGAAATATTTTAATATGTGCTTCTATATGAGGGGGCTACGTACGCACGGGGTGACGAGAGTCCGTATGTAGCTACTATTCCTGTTTATGTCCTCGTAGTTTTAGGTTTACACCATGATTGTGGACACCGTTACTTGATTATATTTGTTAATTGTATCATATGGAACTAAGTTGAGGATTTTTAAGGATTTAAAAGCTTCAAGTTGAATTGTATTTATTTGAAAAGAATAAAGAAAGGGTTATGATTTAATTCCTTAAACTTATATTTGACCGCGTCGCAAGTATGGTTCGCGAGCGGGGTAATTAGATGCATCTATGGTTCGCGCTGTTCGACCCTCGGCAGTGCGTATTTTAAATATTATGTTGGATCGGGTCGTACAACCTCGGCATGATTTGCGCATGACTTGATTGATTGTTTTGGAAATTTTGATAATTGATGTGGCCTCATTGGCCGGAGATATAAATTGTTAAAAGATGAAAATAAATTTGGAAATCTCCTATTAACAAAAGACTTGTTCACTTGCTTCATGTTATTGAGTTTACAGTCGCCTAATAAAATTTATAATTTATCATATTATCGGTATATTATTGTTGGCCATAGTAGGTGTCAGAGTCGACCTCTCGTTACTACTTCTTTGAGATCAAACTGGATACTTACTGGGTACGCGTTGCTTTTGTACTCATACTAAACTTGTTGTACATTCTGTTGTACAGGCACGTGTATGTCTAGTGGCCTTGTGGGCACAGCGGCGTGGTTGATTCGGGACTTAGGTGAGTTGCATCTTATGAGACGATCCGCAGCCAGCAGAGTCTCCTTCAGAGTACTTGTATTTTCTTTTCTGTCCAAATTTATATTCCGGACAGTTATTGTATTTTATTTTACTTCTATTAAATGTTCATGTACTTGTGACACCGCATTTTAGGATAATTGTTGGATTACTCGGTATTGAAATTTGCTAAAAACATCATTATTTACTTTGTGAAGTTCATCATTTATTATTTAAATTAAGGAAATTATGATTTCGAAAATACTAAAATGAGAACTAAATTAACTATTTGGTGTTGGCTTACCTTACAGTAGTGTCCGGCACCATCACGACCTTTACTGAACTTTGGATCGTGACAGAAGTGGCCATACTTGCTGAGCCTGTCCACACACACTGTTGTTCTACCATTTCCGCCAATTCAAGCAAATATAACTGCTTCGCATTAGTCCCGCCACATACTTCTCATTACAAGAGTAACATAAACATTTGGCCCTATTTTCATTCATTTTATCCAAACTGAGTCTCCTTCTATTAACTTCTTTAGGAGCTGCATTATTCCCATAATTGAGAGTTGGTAGTAGAGGTTTGCCACCAGTTCTTTGTTCCATGTACCTCTTGGAAGGCCCTTGTTGAGAAGTAGTTACAGTTTGTCTAGTGGCATCAAGATAGGCCTCCTACATTCTAGTTGTTCCGTACACCTGTGATAATATAGTTGGATTGGTGAGCTTGACTGCAATGTTAAGCTCATGTTTAGAACCTCCAATGAAGCAGCTAATTGCATTTTCTTGAGATAATCTCACTCTATTCAGATTCCTCTCAGAAACAGCTTGATATTCCTTCACACTACCAGTTTGTTTGATCTTTTTGATTTCCTCCACCGGTTCATCAAAATCATTTTGACTAATTCCATGACATACTCATACCAAGTAGCAGGTTGTAGGTACTTCATGTACCTCATGAAAGAGAGGTGCCATTGTATAGCTTCCCCTTCCAACTGTAATGCAGCTACTTCAACCTTTTCTTCAGCAACTATCTTTTCCATATAGAAGAATTGTTCGAATTTGAACAACCATGACCTAAAATCTTCACTAGTAAACCGTAAGAACTCCATTCTAGACCACCTAAAGAAATTAGATTTGTGATGATTGCAGCTCCTATGACTTCTCTCCCCTTCCTTCAGAAGGTTCACCTTCATCTGGTAATGAAGATTTGTCTTTCTGATGTTCCCTTGAATTAGTCAGTTGTTCCTTCAATTCAAGGACTGCCTGATCCAACTGCTTCAGATGCAAAACTTCACCAGATAAAGCCCCTACATCAGCTATCAATTTTTGCATCAATTCACGTAGGTCAATTGGTTCTTCAGTTGAATTGTCAGTTGATCGTGTGCCTTTCGCCATGATTCCAAGGATCGAGGGCTCTGATACCAATAATAGCTCAATTGCAGGAACTCAGTGAAGAGTTTGAGGATCAAGAAGCTAAGTCAGGAGCTTTGAGAGAAGCTCGAAATTATCAGCAATGGAGATCAAAGAAGAAGAAGAAGAGAGTAGAGATAGAAAGAATTGTAATAGCTTTTCTAATATCTTTGTAATGTGTACACTGAGATCATTTGTAGATAATGGATTATATTGAATTGTGCATCCTACTAACTGACTCAACTGACTTCCCTTTCAACTAACTATCTAACTTTTAACTGCTTTCGCTGATGTGGCTTCACTATCTAACTAACGTGCGCTTCCAACTCCATTTTGCATATCACTATCGCGCCTCGACGTCATGGCTAATTGTGTTGACCCACTTCCTCGCATGGGGTAACGGCGGTGCATCTGGCGCCCATGGGCGAGGACGGGGATTGAACTGAATAGTTAATAATCTCTCCCGTGCCCATACCCAAGTTTCATCAAATTATTTGATGAAATTAGGACCCACTAGCTAATTTCACGTCATCAATATGCCACATATTTTGAGCTTTAAATAAAAAAAAATTGATAACAAATGTAAATATTAACGTTGACCTCCAAAACCATTACAAAATACAAAGCACCTAAGTTCTGAATGCAGACTTTAAGCCTCAACAAAATATAGTAATCCTCTAATTATACCGTATATCCTGAACTAGCCTTTTACATTTTTGTGCTTTCTTTGATGCACTTAGCATCTCTACTCTTTCCTTAATCTCCCTTTTTATCACCTCACTACTATGTACATTTACTTCACAAAACAACTTCCAATTCCTATCACTTTAAGTATGATATATCACTATTGCACATATGGCTGCTACCAGTTCCTTCTGAACACCTTCCAGTGTTTCCTTTTTATAGATTCCAGCATGATCTTTGCATCAGCAACTTATATAGTTATCCCTATCCATTGCAGCACAACCTGCCATACTGACTTACTCCAATCACACTCCATGAATAGGTGTGCATTGGTTTCCAACACCTGAGCATTGCGTAAACATCATCTGGAACCCTTCACCTGAATGTGAATTTTAAGCATCCTTTCTTTGGTAAGTAGTCTTCCTTGGACTGCTAGCCACATAATGAATTTGTGTTTTGGCTGGGCCAAAGGTGTCCACACCAACGTAGCTATCTCAAGCTTGTTGTGTTGGCCAATGAGGGCAAGGTAACTCCGAGTGATTGGAACCCTCCTCTGCTCGTTAGCTTATACCTGCCTTGAATATATCAATCCCGCATTGCTTCCTTAAGAGAATTCAGTTTCTTCCAATACCAACTACAGTCTAAGGAGCTTTAAATATAAAATTAATGTATAAAGTGGAAATTTGGGAGTGAGAAAAGCTCTAATATCGGGCTTCTATGGAGGACAAGAGGGAATCATTGACTGGAAGGGAAAGTGGGAGTGACCGTTTGAAATATAGCCCTTTTTGACTTAGCTAACAACTATTACATATTCTTTTTTTTCACATTAGTTTAGTTCGTGGAAATTTTGGACTCTCTGGTAGATGGCCAATTAAAAGGGAATTTCAAATATATTAATTTACATTGATAATTGAATAATAGTTGCAGTTTCAAAAGTAATCGAAATTTGATCACTTTTTCATGTAAAAATAAAATCGCCCTTAAAATTCCGAAATTTTTTAGCATAATATGCTGGAGTTCGAATTTTTTACAAATGAGATTCCAGCATAATGTGCTGGAATTTTATAATGTGTTGGAGGTCCAACATAATATGCTGAAAGTTTACCGCAAAAACTCCATCATCAAGCATATTATGCTAGAACTTTCCGTGTTTCAGCTAAAATAGTAGTTATTTTTCAATGACTTTGCAAACGCTATCTATTTTTCAATTGTCAGTCCGAAAACTGACTAACCCTTGCTATTTTCACCCAATTAAATGAGCTTGCCCCATAATATCATTATTTTTTATTTAAAGCAATTTAATTGGATTTAAATAATCAGCCCAATTATATTTATTCTTATTACTTATTTGGATTAATATACTGAATTTATGATAATATCCAATTTTCTTATGGCTTTAAATTTAGTAAAATTTTACTTATCTACACTTACGTCGACATAATTAACTCTAGCTAAATAAAAAAAATTACAATATTTAAAAACGGGCAAACCGTCCTGCAGGCCTTAAAAAATTAATTTCACAAGTTCAAAGATTGACCTCCTTCCTTAGATCCTTTTAACCGGTACGTAGTCACCAAATCTAGATCTTTCTTCATGTTAAAAACAGAGAGAATACGGGAAATTAAGTGGGCAAATTAAATAAATGATACAAGTATAGCATAGGAACACATTTTACACCAATACAATTAGATTAATTTGAGGAAACCAAAGTACATGAACATAAAGATTATATGTTAAAACTAATCCTTCAAATGTAGGAATAGTTGAAAAATCTTCTTCAGATGCACACGTACATTCAAGATTGGAATTTGCATGTGCCATAACCTAGAAAAATTACAAAACACAAAGGACGCGTCATTAGAAAACTACTAAAGGGAAAACTATGGTAAAAACACACATTCATTAGTTGTACAAAGGAACAATTTCAACTCGGAATGTTACTTACTTGGATCGGCAGAGGCGACGACACCAGTACCGGCAAAGTCACAATTGAATGCATTGCGGCCCTCCCTTTGGTAGTAAGAATTCATGGCAAAGGCAGCGTGAGATCTAATAGTGTTGGGACTAAAGCAGGGACCTCCGGCTTGAATTGGGGTGCAATCCACTCCTTGGCTGCACACATAGTTTATGTTGGATTGTAATTGTGTATCCGTAGCCTCGGCTTTCGGCATGCAGAATTTTTTGCTCTCTGCTGGTCCTACTGGTGATGTTGGTTGCCCTTTGTTGCCACTGCCATTTCTTGGCGCGGGCAATGCTGGTGTTGGTTGAGCCTGTGGGTATCAAAATCACAAAGATGGTATAAAAGTAGTTCGTCATAACTAACAAACAAATAACTAAATGAAGATTTATGTAAATGATTAGAGGTGACAAATGAATGTATTGGTTCTAACTTGGATATACCAAATCAATAAACCGATTATTACTGAATTCACCCAAAATTTGTATGGGTTAAAATAGGTCAAATAACGGGTCATAACATAATATTATCCAACCAACCAATATCCTTCACAGGGCAGATCCAACCTTTCGGTATCCGTTTCATATAAACTCAATACTTTTAACACAAAGCATAATTTTATATATAAAAATTCACAAAATTTGTGATAAGTAGTAGACATGAATCCACAACGTTAAATATAATATATAATGAGTTTATATCTTGAATCTGTCACCTCTAAGATCATTTAATATGATGTAGAAAATATAAGGCATTGCACCGTGATATGTGTGATTAACTTTTAAGTACACTCAAGTTTGAATTACTATCAAAACATTAAAAAGCAGCAGCATAAAGTACTAAAAACGAGACGACAAGATTCAAATTTAAAGATAGAAAAAAATGATTCTCAAATCTTTTTCTTTTTCATTTTCTAAAGTAAAAAAGACATCTCAGAAATGGGCGTAAAGGATTCGACAGCACATGTTCATTCGGTCGTAGCGGTTGAACTTTCCAGCACGCTACCCTTTTTTGTGTACTGAGAAATGATAGTACCGTTACTACTATCTTTTTAAAGGAAAAGGAATCCAATGTAAATTTTTTAATATTGTATGTGGTGGGACAGGTGTCAAGTTTATGAAGTTCCAGCTTGCAACGTATCTGGCTAATATTTTTTGGTTAAAATATCAAGATTTAGTTGGAGGATAGAAAAACAAACAATGAGCTAATCTAGCTACTAAACCAAAATAATGTTGAGGTCCATATCCTAAAGCGTTCGTCTATAAAAGTATGTGTTAAAACTAATAAAAAAAATGTTAACACCGCCAATTTTGAATCAATTAACTGTCGGTTGCTCTATTCGAGAGACAAAGTACATCCAACCGAGATAGGTGATATTTTTCACATGAAGCCAAGTGTCCCTCACATGGAAAGGAAAACATATTCCATCTTGAGTGGGAAAATGCAATACAACCAGCTGTACCCAACTGAATTAAAAAGCTACTAGCAGTTCAAGATTTTTGAAGCTACGTCCCAACAAAAGACAATGGGGCGCAAAGAGAAAACAATAGGAACCACCTTCCATGTAAGAGGAAATACGTGAAAGAAATTACAAAACCTTGTCATAATTATAGCTGGTCAAGGCAAATTCCTATTTGACCCCTCAATTCAATTTTCACATCCTCTTAAAATGACTTAAATGCCTCCTAGCTTCGAATTAATTAGTATGTGTCGTAAAGTTGGTCTACCAAAATCATTAGATGATTAGTTATCCATTTATTGATACTTAACAAAAAGAACTAAAGTAACTAGTAGTAGTATTTACTTCGTCAGCATATGAATGGCAAAATAAGGTGGTGTGGTTTAAAAGAGGTTCCCTTGTTTAAGCTGGATGTAAAAATGGTTTCCTAATTGGACAGTAAGCAGCCACAAGAACATAAAAAAGAGAAGAAATTCAACGTTAACCTACAATAGTTTATTAACGCGAAACAGCCAACTTCTTAATTACCAGCAATACAAATTTTGAAGTGACGATAAAATTAAGTGGTAATTAATGAAGAAAGTTCAAGTTACCTGCTCTCCTTTCAAGACTCCAATATTGTAAACCGGGGTGAAATCCGGGCGGAACAATCCGAAATTCCTCTCAGCAGTTGAACCGGGTTTAGTGTTCTCGTTGAACAATCCGAATATGTATGTCTCAATCTTCCTGTGCGGCATCAATGGCGTCCCTGTCCCAGAGTTGTACTTCCTCAACAGCCCACCATTGTAAGAAGCCGCATTTTCCACCGTACATTGAGGCTCATATGACTCACCCTGAGATGGCCATCCTGTCTCCGCCGCAACAATCTCTACATCTGGGTATTTAAGCCTTACCATAGACATATACACCGCATCTAACAGCATGTCGAACGAGTTTGTGTACCATTTCTTAGAGAACCTGTCGTAGACACCTTTGTTTTTCCTGAATAAAAGGAAGTCCTCCTGTTTTGGGTTGTACCCAAAGTATGGGTAAGGGTTTACCATAAAAGGTCCTTTAGTCTCGCGCAAGAATTGGAGCATAGGGGCCAGAATACCCACATCCCAACCAGGCCTAAACCTCGCGGCGCTAGGTGGGTTGGATCTTAAAAGGATACCAAGAGAATGAGGAGAGGAGACCTTGATATCCTTTAACCCGGACTGACCAAGAGCTTGGTAAAAGGTTTTCATAGCAGGAACCAGCTTCATCTGGATATCTGGTCCGTCCCAGTGGAGGACTTCATTTCCCACAAGAATAACATCAATCTTTGTTTGTGGGTAAAAGGGTTTAATGTTGGCGTCGATATACCGGCGAGCATAGCTGATATCCAAGAGGTTGGGGATCTCTCCGTTTGGAACAGTGACGGTAACTGAGATTCCTGTGTTAGCGAAGGCTCGAAGGATGTCTGGGTTAATGTCGAAGATTTTGATGCGGTCGATTACGGTCTTGTCTTTGAGAAACTGAGCAACTTGAGCTGGCGGGGGAAGGTTGTTCCCTAGTGTGCCATAGTTAACACCGATAGAACTAACAGCCGGGAAAAACAGAGGAACAACAAACAATATTAGCAACAACAGGGACGGTTTTTTGTCTGGCATGTTTTTACAAAGGGGTTTGGTGAAGAAGGGAGAGGGAAAATGGAAGGATTATTTATCAAGTGGAGAAAGAGAAAGAGGGTCAAAGTTGGATTTGGACTAGTTTGAACAAAGGAAGGACGTTCAAAGGCTGTTGGCGATGGAGAGTTCTTGTGTTGAGCCTTGGGAATCGAGGGGGGCCTATTATTTTGAATTTTGAGGAGCATCCTATAAACGTGTCGTGGCAACAAAGGTTAAAAGTGATGCCATAATTATTCTGATTACGCGTATGTTGCGCAACGCCACTTGTAAAATGAATATGTCCGAAAAGCAACAACGGACTCTATAGATTTACAGTAACACCTCATTATCCAGCACATGAGATTAACATCATGTTACCCGTGCCGACACGGCCCAACATGGAAATTATAAGCTATTTTTGTAGTAATTTTTTTTTATCTATACCATATATGAAACCTTATTACTAAAAATGTGCATATTTTCATTATTATCTGTCATGTTTATATTTTTCCTACAAAATTTATATTATTCATTAAATACCCAATATTAAGAGTTGATTCCTTCCAAATTAGGCGCCTACAAATCTGGGATAAATATTTGAATAGCTTATTCCTTCCAAATTAGGCGCCTAAAAATTTGGGACTAAATATTTTTTCATATTCACATCAGATTTGTTTCCTCCCTTTTCTGCAGGCTTCTCTTTCATCATTTTTCACGTATTTCTGTTTCTCCAATACCATTCCCATTTGAAGAATGACTCAAGAATGTGCAAAGAAGATACAGATGCTACTAGCGCCACAAACAAGAAGCTCGAAATAGTAATGAATAAAACGAGATATATGCAACAGGCCACTTCTATGTTAACAGAAAACAACAGGGACGTTGCAACAGTGAGTAGATTTGAAGCTGGAAGAATAGAAAAATATATTGGTGAAATGAAACTATCTAAGTTAAACATCTGCTTCCAAACACAAAAAAATGTTGACTACAAAATTTTCTCCTAATCTACAAAAAATCTATAAATAAACTACAAATCAGTTTACGTATGTACAAAGCAGTATTGTTTTGAAGGGTATCTACAAAATTACTACATTTATACTACAATTGTACTACAATCTATGTTGAAAAAAGATGTTGACTACAAAATTTTCTCTTTATCTACAAATTTCTACAAATAAACTACAAATCAGTTTAAGTATTGTATAAAGTTGTATTGTTTTTAAGGGTATCTATAAAATTATTACATTTATACTACAATTAAACTATAATCTATGTTGAAAAAAAATGTTGACTACAAAATTTTCTCTTCATCTAAAAAATTTCTACAAAAAAAAACTACAAATAAACTACAAATCAGTTTAAGTATTGTACAAAGTTGTATTATTTTAAAGGGTATCTACAAAATTACTACATTTATACTACAATTAAACTATAATCTTATGTGGCAAAAAAATGTTGACAACAAAAATTTGCTCTTCATCTACAAAATTTCTACAAAACTACAAATAAACTACAATTGCACCCATACTGTCACACTTATATTGGGTCATATTTAAGTCTTTTCAAGTTAAACCAACACAAATACAAATTTCAAGCTACTAGCAAAAAATTGCACGAGATCGACTAGGATTAAAAAGAAGAGAAAATGAAGAAATTGTCGATGAGAAGCTTTAAACTCGAGGAGAACCAAATAGAAGGTGAATCAAGAGTTTAGGACTGAGATATTGATTTTGCTGACTTCATCTTCTTTTTCAGATCTAGCTAGTGTTTTGATTTTGATTATTCTACATCTTGATGGTTACGACCTTTTGAAGCTCGCCGGAGGAGGTTACAGAAGATTCATATGGCTATCCCACAAATTTACAATTGAGAATTGTCTATGTTGAAAAACAATGGGTTTCATATTGAATCTCTTTGGCTAAAAATCTGATTATAAAAAATGGGTCTCATTTCTGNTCTTTGCATCAGAAAATTGGGTTTATGACATTTTGGGCATTGGACAACTCATTCCTTTTGGGAACTGGGTTTTTGCATTTGAAGAGTAACCACCTAATGATTTAGGGTGCATTAGGACACCTATAAGGTTCACTACTAAGTTTGTTTGATAACCAGAGATAGGGTAAGGGCTTGAAATTATCCTAAGGGGAAGGTGTTAGGAACCCCTCAGGATCCACTAGTGTGGTTCCCACCCAGACAGTTTTTGTGAATTTGTGAAATTTAGCAAATAGACGAGTATAGGCTCAAATAGTAGGGGATTTAAGTTTAAACACATAAGAGTTTGAAAGAGCAATTATTAAAAGGCGGATTTTGAAAAGAAGTTGCAAATGATAAGAAAAGGGGTCCTAGGTTTATTTATAATATGGATCACATCAATGCAACACCCGGTAATCACTCCTCAAAAGAGGGGCTACACGTGGTATTAGCGCACCGGTCATCATATCCATATCCATATCTACCCTTCCCACCCCGTCAAGGTGTTAAAGCGCGAATTGGTCTCGACCTCTATTGCATGCTATTACCCGTCCCATTCCTATCAGTCTCGGAGGATTTAGGACTACTATTCCTATAAGAAGGAGAATTTTAGGCTGACTCTTGGGTTTTAAAGGTAAAAAGACTAAGGCGACATTCAAAACACACAGGACTGCATATCAGGGGAGACATGTAAAACAAATAAGAGGCTCAGATATACCTCCTCAAGTAAAGCACATAATTAGCATGACTTTAAAACATATTCATGGCCAGAATTTAAAGTACTAAGACAGGGGAGTATCAGTTGTTGAAGCAGACCAATTTATTACATAGCTCAGATAAGAAGTCTGAATCAGGCCTGCCTGCTGGTTGAGATCAGTGATTCATTCCATTCGAGAAAAATGTGGTTTGGAATGTGATAGAAGACCCACAATTTTATACGAAGACAATGCTTCATGCATAACCCAATTGAAGGGAAGATTTATAAAAGGAGATAGAATGAAGCACATTTCACCAAATTATTCTACACACATGATCTTCAGAAAATGGTGACATTGATGTGCAACAAATCCGTTCAAGTTGAAATCAAGCAGATTTGTTCACCAAATCTTTTCCAACTGCAACCTTCGAAAAGATGGTATACAATATTGGAATGCGGAGATTTGGGTATTTGAAACAACGTCTTTATCAGGGGAAATAAAGTATGCACTGTACTTTTTTTTTCCCTTCCCTAGGTTTGTTCCCACTGAATTTTTCCTGGTAAGGTTTTAATGAGGCAGCTTGCATCGTATATTATTAGTGTACTTTTTTTCTTGACTAGGATTTTTTTTCCCATGGAATTTTTCCTAGTAAGGTTTTAATGAGGCACTTAATGATGACATCCAAGGGGGAATGTTATGAAAATATTATTGTGGATTCCATTTATTATTCCATTGTAAATAATCTTCCTGAAGAAGATGATCCATTTGGTACTCCATTGAAGTTTATCTCCAAGTAGCTGATGCAGGCAGGTTGCAAGCAACTCAATGAAATGACTTGCAGCAATTTCTTATTAAACATGCAGGTTGCGAGCAGCTCATGCAGACATCTTACAAGCAGCTCAAGAAAAGTCCCGCAGCTGCTTCCTTTCTTCTATAAATAGAGGGGATTTCAGTTCATTATGTACATCAGTTTGAAGTTTAATAATATATCAATCTCTCTCTATACTTGTCTTCGATTTATTACTTTACGGTTTTTATTTTATAACAAGTTTGACATTTAAACTAATTAAAGGAGAAAACTTAGGGATTTTTTCCTATCTATACCATATATGAAACCTTATTACTAAAAATGTACATATTTTCATTATTACCCGCCATGTTTATATTTTTCCTATAAAATTTATACCATTCATTAAATACCCAATATTAAGAGCTGATTCCTTCCAAATTAGGCGCCTACAAATCTGGGATAAATATTTGAATAGCTTATTCCTTCCAAATTAGGCGCCTAAAAATTTGGGACTAAATATTTTTTCATATTCACATCAGATTTGTTTCCTCCCTTTTCTGCAGGCTTCTCTTTCATCATTTTTCACGTATTTCTGTTTCTCCAATACCATTCCCATTTGAAGAATGACTCAAGAATGTGCAAAGAAGATACAGATGCTACTAGCGCCACAAACAAGAAGCTCGAAATAGTAATGAATAAAACGAGATATATGCAACAGGCCACTTCTATGTTAACAGAAAACAACAGGGACGTTGCAACAGTGAGTAGATTTGAAGCTGGAAGAATAGAAAAATATATTGGTGAAATGAAACTATCTAAGTTAAACATCTGCTTCCAAACACAAAAAAATGTTGACTACAAAATTTTCTCCTAATCTACAAAAAATCTATAAATAAACTACAAATCAGTTTACGTATGTACAAAGCAGTATTGTTTTGAAGGGTATCTACAAAATTACTACATTTATACTACAATTGTACTACAATCTATGTTGAAAAAAGATGTTGACTACAAAATTTTCTCTTTATCTACAAATTTCTACAAATAAACTACAAATCAGTTTAAGTATTGTATAAAGTTGTATTGTTTTTAAGGGTATCTATAAAATTATTACATTTATACTACAATTAAACTATAATCTATGTTGAAAAAAAATGTTGACTACAAAATTTTCTCTTCATCTAAAAAATTTCTACAAAAAAAAACTACAAATAAACTACAAATCAGTTTAAGTATTGTACAAAGTTGTATTATTTTAAAGGGTATCTACAAAATTACTACATTTATACTACAATTAAACTATAATCTTATGTGGCAAAAAAATGTTGACAACAAAAATTTGCTCTTCATCTACAAAATTTTTACAAAACTACAAATAAACTACAATTGCACCCATACTGTCACACTTATATTGGGTCATATTTAAGTCTTTTCAAGTTAAACCAACACAAATACAAATTTCAAGCTACTAGCAAAAAATTGCACGAGATCGATTAGGATTAAAAAGAAGAGAAAATGAAGAAATTGTCGATGAGAAGCTTTAAACTCGAGGAGAACCAAATAGAAGGTGAATCAAGAGTTTAGGACTGAGATATTGATTTTGCTGACTTCATCTTTTTTTTCAGATCTAGCTAGTGTTTTGATTTTGATTATTCTACATCTTGATGGTTACGGCCTTTTGAAGCTCGCTGGAGGAGGTTACAGAATATTCATATGGCTACCCCACAAATTTACAATTGAGAATTGTCTATGTTGAAAA